GTCCTCGTCGGTGGTGCTGGAAGGAGCGGGCTCCGAAGTGGTAACCGCCGAGGAAGAAGGCGGCAGGGTGATGGTAGGAGGGTGGGTAACATCAGCGGAAGAAGAGGACGGCTCCGTCGAAGTCTCAGGCTCATCCTCGCAATCCGAATCATCATCCGTAGTCGTAGACGAAGCGGGCGGGGCACTCGTCACGGTGGAAGAGGGCGGCTGGGTGATGACAGGCGCAGAGGTCGTGGGCGCAACTGTGCTAGTCGGCTCCTCATCGTCACAGTCCGAGTCTTCGCCATCATCCGTGGTCGTAGTCGTCACGGGAGGAGCACTGGTCTTGGTGGTAGGCGCCTCGGTCGTGTGAGTAGCGGTATAGGTGACGCAGGAGCAGGCAGAGCTGACAGCGGTGCGATCGTTGTTGCAGTTCTCCAAGTAGTCCGGAATATCCTTAACGCTTCCATCCAAAAAGCCGGGACAAAACTCGGTGGCCTGGGTCTTGAACCGCGGATCCGTCATCTCATTGTAGCAGTTGTCAGGGTCCTGATATCCCGTGTTAGTAGATAGTCTTGGCTCGAGTGTTATCGAGGAGTGACCACTTACACAGTCAGGATACTTCCATGCCTGGGTGAGGCCGAGGGACAGGGCCCCCAGAGCAAGGGTAGCGGCACGCATTGTGTCCTTTGGATATTCTTAGTTGCTTGCTGTTATAAAAACGACCGACTCCTTGAGTAATACGGTATGTTCACCAACAACGAGAGTATATGGTGATCCTGGTTGTGATAAGTCCTTCCCGTATCTTGTAGACAAGCGAGCGACTGCGGGTGGTATTAGATATTACAAAGGGACGGACTATTTCCCTTGTTGCAGCGAGGAGTAAGAAGCAAGAAAGAGACCGGAGAGGAGGAGGCTCTGGTGGCCCCGAACGGGACCGGACCTCTTTTATAAAGAGAAAAGAGAAAACGACGGAAATATCTCCCCATAGCTTAACCGACAGCCACTATGATCGATAGCCTCTAGGGCGAGCCTTGGCCCCGGGACCTGGAAAAAGGCTGAGGTGCCATTCCCAAAGCGGGCAGCAGCCGGGCAATACGAGATCTAGGCAATATTTGGCATCCGGTGGCACCCTACACAGGTGGTGAGGTAGCATTTTGGGTGGTGAGCTGACAGGGGACCAGGGGGATTATCAAGACCAGATAAACAAGGGGCCGTGGACGGAGGAGTGCCGAGCATTGCGAGCTACACTTGGAGCTACTGCAACCTTTCCACCTGCCATCCCAAGCCATGGTGTCCTCCACGGTGTACCCGCTAGGCCTGTCCATCGGCCTGTCCTTTTTGAACCTCTTGCCCAATGCCAATCGGTCTTTTGACCATCGTGAGCATCGGTTACTCGGGCAGATACCCGCTCTCGACGCTAGAGAGGGGGCTTGGCTCGAGCTTGGAGCTTGGGACCGATGGTGTGTGGTCTAGACGGTTGCTTTTTGTGGAGTTCTTCCGGTGACGTTGTCGCCCTGTCTGCCAAGTGTAGCCGCCCGCAAAGGCCGCCTGAGTACCTTATCAATCCTCCTTCCCTTTTGACAATGGGTTTTCTTGGGACTTTGTGTGTGGGGGATCCGACCCATGGACCGACCCATGGTAATAAACATTTGTTGATAATGATACCTATGTGGGGAAGGTGATGATGTTTGGTGATGATGACGAAGAGGGTAACAATGGTGTTGTTCTCAACCTCTCTCCTCTTTCTCCCCCAGGTCCTCTCTCGTGTCTAAATTCGATTCTCACCGTTGGACCTGCAAAGTACAAAATGCTCGACTAAGCGAACGAATCTCGGTGCGATGCACATACCTAATACGAGTTACACAGGTCCATAGTACCTGCCTTACACCGTTCCTAGGGGGGAAGCGATTTGCATTCCATGTCGTGAGTTGTCCATCATGTCGATGTGGTGCAACAATGCCCCCTTTTCCCCCGAAAAAAACTGTCAGAGACGCATCTTGAATGGCTGTCAGCGCACAAAAGCCAAGACAACACGCCATGCAGCGTTGAGAACAAAGTCCGAGCCGATGGGTTAATGTTAACCACGAGGCCCAAACAAAGGTGCCGTTCAGAAAGCTGGAGAAATATGTGGTTGGATATCGAAAAAGCGAAAAAAAAGTCCTTTGTTCGATCCTTCCCTTCCCCTCCAGCTTGCCAAGGGTTCCTCCCAAGGGCTCACACTCACCTCTCTCGCTTTCTTGTCCGGCCCGGTTGGCTTTGACCCGACCAGCCAGTCGCAGGAATCCTTTCGTTTGACTGGTCAGAATGTCGGTGCCGATGCAGTTGGCTCGACTTGGCTTTCTTCGCTTCCATCCTGTTGAGCCTGGCTTGGAGCCTTGGAGCGCTCGTCATCAGTTCTTTCCTCCCTTTTCTGGAAGTTCCTTCACACCGTTCGTTCGGTCACTTCCTCCCTGAGCCGGTACGTAAAACAGTTGTTGCCGACCATCCGGAGTCCCGGAGAGCGAGCGACAGAGGAAAAGCAGTTTCTCACAGTCACCTTTTTCCCGTCGGCACAAAACTCCGTTCTCCTCGCTCGTATTACCCAGCTGACTCTGCCTTGGAATCTCGCCATGTTGGTAACCTTAAAAATGCTGTTAGATCCACTTCAAAAGTCTTTCCCTGGCACCATCCCGTTCTATATTTGAAGGAAGTGGATATCCTTTTTTGAGCGGTTGATGGTTGATGCTCCCATATGATGACTTCTTTGGTCTTACCACGGTAGGGCTGGCGATCACGGAGAACGCGGCATAGGTACCTGGAAAATAACAGTGCTGTAATATCGAAGAGACCGGAAATGGAACGGGAACCATATACTCGTCAGGTCTTCGAAAACGACCGTCTGATTAGCGGGAAACCCTTGTTCTCAAGGGCTGCTTATTCGCTATGGTCAGCGCATATACACGAGCAAACACCCACCACTTACATGAAGTGGCGTCGGTTAGCGGTCGTCAAGCAGTTAGAAACAGCTTTTGCTTCGCGGCACAATCCAACTGCTGGGTTCCCGCATCAGTGACAGTAAGTAACCTCAGACTGCGAGGTTGAAGTTAGGTAATGAGAGCCTCCTCGGTGGGCATCGACTCTTTCACTTACCTTACCTACATGTTGCGATGTGGACTCACAAATCGCACTTGGTACATATCGTGATTCGCAAGTGGATATCTGGGTCACTCCACACACTACGATGAAATACGAGGGTGACGAGGATGTGTGCGGGGAAGATGTCAGATCTTGAATCGTGTAAAAAAAAATCGAAGGAAAAGAAAACGAAGTTGTAAAAGGGCAAGGAATACGAAGAAGGGCCGAAGTGGCGCTATTAGTTGGGCAAGCTGATCAGCCATCATCAGGCTGCCGGCGTTGGTTTGTTGATGATATGGGCTTCTCATAGCGGACAAGAAGCCACCATTATTATTGAGAATGGTTCGGATTCCAGGTGCAAACCGCAAGAACCGAGTTTGTAGGCAAAGAGTGCGAGATATGACAGCTGCAGTCTTCCGTAGATGCTTGGCCTCTGTGGAGATGACGTCCGGCACTTCATCAACACCAGCACAGCTTGAACAGTATAAACAAGCAAAGACAAAAGGCAGGCTTAGAGTTCGACGTACCTTTTTCCTGCGATTAGGGTTGCGTTTGGGTACTAGTGTGAAACGAAGTCTGGAGCGCGGTTGACGGGCTCTAGGTCGATGAAGAGAATGTTGTCTAGAAGGTCGGCGGGAAGTTTTCCTGTTGGGTTGGTTTCGGTTGCGCTGTTATCGGAATAGAAGAGGATGGTGAATTTGTTTTAGAGAGAATCGTATGGTCGGTTGCCTCGGATTATTTATAGGTGATCAAGCGTTAATCGATCGGTAATGATAGAGAGAGTGTGTCTTCGGGTGCAACTTGTGAACTGCATTACTGCGAGTATGTTGATTATTAGAAAGGCATAGATAATAACGAGGTGGTGGTGAGGAACAAGACGTACAGTGACATGAGTATGGTTGAACTTACGAACAATTCTGCTTCGCTCCTTGTGTATAACTAACAATGGATTTTCACGGCTGTTCCTTCCCCGTCCGATTGTTGTTGGCGTACTGCCTTGCTATCGGTTATGGTGAAGTTGTCCCGCTTCGACCAAATATTCCGTTTGAGTAGATATAAGGTAAGTTAATCGGCTGTATGTGACTGTATTCAACTGGATATTTGTTTTCTGTTAGCAGTTAGCATTATGATGTTCATCCACATATCCAGTTCTAACAGGACTCTGGAGCTTTAAAAGAACAAGCAATCGGCCGCCTTTAGGCCGGCTTGCATGTTCGCCCAACTGTTAACTTACTATTCGATTGGCAACATCGTCCTCTGGCTTGCTCGATAATCCCTCTGGTAAGACAAGGGTCCGAGCAAATCGACCCCCACACTGCAAGCCACAGCCTCAGAGCCACAAGGCGCAATATCGAATACCTACTTAAGCGTCTTGCCTCTCCTTCAGGACCTCAAGGTTCAAGCCCGGTCCAGCTTCATCTCGGCCACTCTATTAAAGACCGATCTTCAAACATACGTACCGCAACGATATCTCATCAAAAAGCATCACCATGGCGCCTTCATCTCAACCTACCACGATATCTGCTACGGCTACGCTCCCCCTTCTCTATCGCATCATCCTGCTCTATATCGAACCCCTCTTCGCACTCAACGGTGCTCTGATGGTCTTCTTTCAGCCGGCCAAATACGCGGCCTTGATGACGCGCGCCACCGTGCCCTACGATGCCCCCTCGCAATATCTCTACACGCAGATCGGGGGTGTGTGGCTGTACTTTGCCTTCAACCAAGCCGTCATCCTTCGGCTGTACGATGATCTTTGTCTATGGCAGCTGCTCTGTGCCGGCATGCTCCTCAGCGATGCTGCGTATAGCTGGTCTGTGATACAAGGACTAGGCGGATGGAGTAACTGGATCAAAATCGCAGACTGGGAAGCCTCAGACTGGACCCTACTTTGGTCGACTGTGCCCTTGGCAGTAGTCAGGCTTCTGGTTCTGCTTCAGAGTACGGCGGGAGCGAGGAAGGGTGAAGAGAAGGTCGATGAGAAGAGGAAGTGAGCTATTGCCGGTAGACAAAAATGATAAATGACTTGGAATGGAAACTTGATGGCAGCATATGAATAATTGCGCAGGACAACGAGCTTTAATGTACGGGAGAAATACCTAGTCCTAAATATGTTGTATTCGTGACGAAGTCGTCATCGATATTGGGGATTGATGAATGTTGCGGCTCGAGGGGTTGGAGAGAAATTTAACTCCCTGAAAGATCACGTAACGTCAGCTTCAGTTGCTATCGAATATCGAGCACCGTTCTTTAGGTGCTCCAGAGTGAAAAGGAGACAAAACAAAAGATGCAGCCCGGGCGTCGATGACCGAGCAACAGTGAACCTAGTCAAGTAGCCGGGTCTTCCTAGTTGGTGACCACGTGACAGATCCCAGCTGTCTATGGAGAGATCGAGGAACAACCTGACAGCCCCTGAATTCCCCCTGTTGTTTTGATTGGGGGATACTTATTCTTATTCTTCATTTCTTGCCCCTCTGCCCCTCTTTGATCGCTCTCCTCATATTTGAAACGGACAAACTTTTGGCTTGTAAGTGTTGTATCAAGTTTTGGTTAGACGCACCCTGGCACCGCTAATGTGGTGGCCACCAAGTCCTGTTTTGTCTTGCTCATCGTTATCAATCTTGTCCTGTTCCTGCTCCTTTTGGATATGAAGGCCTCCGGGATCAGTACAAGTAGGATAACTCTGGATTGGTAGAACAATGTGAAACATTGACTTGGTGTCGATCGACCAGACGTTCCAGGTTGGCCCAGGGCATGTCCGGGGACTCGACCTCGTGGGCCTGGCTTATATCCTTGCCGCAACATGTGTCTGTCATGCGTGGATGAATCGGAGCCTCGGAGGTCATGTCTACGGATTTACACTCCAAAGTCCGTCTGGGAATCTTGCTGGTGTCGTAAACTGTGATTGCGGCCGATGAGCCCAAGGAAATTGTCAACCCAAAATTAGCAACGTGGTGGCAACCAGAGGGCCGGGGAAACAGAGGTGGTCCCTGCTAAGCTTCTAGTGGCATCTTGTCGCTTGTCCATCAGCCTCAAACACGACTCTTGACCACGAAGCATGGCTCAGCATGGCTCTGAAGCACGGAACCCGTCAAGTGTCTGCCCTGGGCATCGGGCCGCATCTGACAAGTGGAAGTCGGGCTGTTAGCGCATATTGGATCTTGGGGTTGCTCCATCCGCTCATCTTGTCGGCTTGTTTTGATCGTCTGAGTGGTAGAGTGGTTGTTTTGTATTTGACCGTGATTCGATGTGGGAGAGATTGAACTGCGAAACTGCGGACAGAAACTGGACCCCGGCGGGCAATTAGCACCCCACTTTTTCAGCAGCACTTCCCAAGTTATCGTGTCCACCAGGGTGTTCCTGTTCGTTTTTGTTAGTGACGGCCCCCAGCTGAGCCCCTGGCCAAAGTCAAACAAGCCTGCCGCGAATCACTGGGCCCAGAAAGGGAAGAAGGAGAGCGGAAAAGGAGAGGAAGCGGGGCTCGCGACAGGGCAACCAGGCCCAGCGACCGGACCAGGAGACGGGACTAGCCCGATTGTCTTCCTCCACCGGGCTTTGGTCCCGCATCAGCCACTAACAAGGATCCTGCCCGCTGAACGCAACCATTCCTGCTGCGCTCCTCATGCTGTCGCTGTGAACCGCGCCCACCACACGCCCACACAGCCCACTGCACCACTACCTGCATACTTACCCGGGCAGCAGCGTTCGACTCTCCGCCCGACACCTTGGGATTCAACGCTATCGATCCTCACCAGTGGCATCTATCCGCCTTCCACTTGTGTTCCGCCTCCGTCGGTCTTGTTGTGCTGTAACACTTACAAACCATCCACTTGCAACATCCATCCATCCATCCATCCATCTTCAGACAAGAGTGTTGTTGTTCATACATCACCTTGCTGCTGCGCCAAACAGTAGTCGCCTCCCAGTCTGTCGCACTCGGTCGATTTAGAGCCTTATTTCCTGACAGGGCCTCCTTTTCTCTCGGCACCTTCTCTCCTCCACAGTCCACTTCCCGTCTTTCTGTTGACACCGACCCGAGGTATCGACACCGACACCGACACCGACACCGACACCGACACCGACACCGACCTTCGACGCCGACGCCGACATCGAGATCGTCCCGTCACATCGACTAACCTACCCACCCTACCTACCCTTCTATCCTCTACCTAGTCTCTTTGCGTTTCTTCGCTTTTATCCTAGGGAACTACCTACCTGGACGGACCCCTTCCTTGCCTCCTCAGTCTCCTATCCGCCAAATCACCTCCTGTTGGCGTCCAACCTCAGTCCTTTCGTATTCCACGGCTGGTCCACCCTACCTACATCCATTCCCCTCTCAGTTTTCTGTCAGACAACAAAATGTCTTGGAAACTTACAAAGAGTATGTTGTTCGGCGAAACCCTCGTCTTTTCCTTTCCCCGCGGCAGAACACCATGTCTGACATGTTGGCACACCAGAGCTGAAGGAGACCCATCTGGGTCCTCTTGCAAGCACCTTCTCCCGCTCGCCCTCCACCTCCACCATCACAGATAAGGAAGAAAAGAGCCAAGCGGGCAGCTCGGGAACAGCCACCCCTTCGAACGAGAACACCATTGGTAGGCGCTCAGCCCGTCTCGTTCACTCGGCCATCACAAGATTAACCTCTTTTCCCTTTACAGCCGCGTCCGAAGCCCTTACGCAAGCCCCGATCGTCAAGCCCCCTAAGCCCGGTATCCTCGTCGTCACCCTCCACGAGGGTTCCGGTTTCTCGCTACCCGAGCAATACCGCAATGTCTTTGCTTCAGGCCATGGCGGCAACTCCATGTCGACTGGAAGTGCCCTTAACGTAGCAGGCTCCATTCGAAACAACAACTCGTCGCGAACCGCCAACTTCCTGAGCGGCTCTTCGCGCCCACAGAGCTCCGGCGGCTTCGGTGCTATTCCCACGAACCACGGCCGTATCTCCACAAAGTACATGCCCTATGCCCTGATAGATTTCGACAAGGTCCAGGTTTTTGTCAATTCGGTCGAAGGCAACCCAGAAAACCCTCTGTGGGCCGGCTCGAATACCCAGTACAAGTTCGATGTGTCCCGCGTTACCGAACTTGCAGTACATCTTTATATCCGCAACCCCAACGCTGCTCCTGGCTCTGGCCGCAGCCAAGACATCTTCCTCGGTGTTGTCCGTATTAATCCCAGATTCGAGGAGAAGCAGCAGTTTGTTGAAGACCCCAAGGCCAGCAAGAAGGACCGGGAAAAGGCCGCCACCGAGTTTGCCAACAACCAGCGCGCTCTCGGGCACAGCGGTGTGGAATGGGTCGATGTTCAGTACGGCACTGGAAAGCTCAAGATTGGCGTCGAGTATGTGGAGAACCGTGCCGGTAAGCTCAAGATTGAGGATTTCGAGCTTCTCAAGGTCGTCGGCAAGGGATCTTTCGGTAAGGTCATGCAGGTGCGCAAGAAGGACACGAACCGTATCTATGCTCTCAAGACGATCCGCAAGGCGCACATTATCTCGCGTTCCGAAGTCGCCCACACGCTCGCTGAGCGATCCGTTCTGGCCCAGATCAACAACCCGTTTATCGTGCCGCTCAAGTTCACCTTCCAGAGTCCTGAGAAGCTATACTTCGTCCTCGCGTTCGTCAACGGAGGCGAGCTCTTCCATCATTTGCAGAAAGAGCAGCGATTTGACGTCAACCGCAGTCGTTTCTACACGGCCGAACTGCTGTGCGCCCTCGAGTGTCTCCACGGCTTCAACGTCATTTACCGTGATCTCAAGCCGGAAAACATCCTTCTCGATTACCAAGGTCACATTGCTCTCTGCGATTTCGGTCTCTGCAAGCTGGACATGAAGGACGAAGACCGCACCAACACATTCTGCGGCACCCCTGAGTATTTGGCGCCCGAATTGCTGATGGGCAATGGCTACAACAAGACTGTTGATTGGTGGACATTGGGCGTGCTTTTGTACGAGATGTTGACGGGTCTCCCCCCTTTCTACGACGAGAACACCAACGAGATGTACCGCAAGATCCTCAGCGAGCCACTGCACTTCCCCGGACCCGAGGTTGTACCACCAGCTGCCAAGGACCTCTTGACCAAGCTGCTCAACCGCGACCCGCAACAACGTCTTGGTGCCAACGGTGCCGCTGAGATCAAGGCGCATCCCTTCTTCCACGCTATAGATTGGCGCAAGTTGCTGCAGCGCAAGTATGAGCCTGCGTTCAAGCCCAATGTGGTAAGTACTAAGAGCATTGCCTACTCATCGGTTGATCAGATTCGGTACGCTAACTACAGTCTTTACAGGTTGACGCGCTCGATACTGCCAACTTCGATCCCGAGTTCACATCGGAACTTCCTCAGGACTCTTACGTGGAAGGGCCAATTCTCTCGGAGACGATGCAGAACCAGTTTACGGGCTTCAGTTACAACCGTCCCATTGCTGGTCTCGGAGATGCGGGCGGCAGTGTTAAGGACCCATCATTCGCGAGCAGTCTTCAAGACAACAGCAGCAGGAGATAGACAAAGTAAATGCAGGTTAGAACTTTGGCAGGCGAAATGGGGATATAGCGGTTGCAGCATAGAGGCCGGTTCGGTTAAGCGGGTGGGTTGCAGCTATGGTTGACCCATTGATGGGTGAGGCTGAACGCATAGGTGACCGCCAAGTGTTCAGCCGCTGGACAAGGGGCTTTTAAAGTCCTTCCTTTTATCTTGTGTTTGTTTATCCATATTTGTGACTTGAGCTGCCTAGGTACATTTTCACATAGGTGTTGGGCAGTGATTTGCTTCATGGTTTAGCTTATAAACAATGTCAGGTACTTTTACATAACACGAGGCAGAGCCTGACGTTCACTCTGAAACCACTTTAGGAACCAACCTCGCCATGAAGTTGAGTTAGGTTAAGCAGCCGAGCAACCCGGAATGTTACACCAAGGCAGTTTGCGGATATTGTGCAAGGGGTCTGTTCTTGTGCCCAAAGCTGTTCGCTCTTATACCCAATTCGTGGTCTCATGATCAGTGGTGTGTTGTAGGCAAGGGGATTTTCTGCTTTGTTCAAGAGGACTTAACCTCCAACATGATTTGTGAGCATATATACAGTAGATCGGAGTGGACGGATGAGTTTGCTGAGGACGGCTCTTGAAGACGGTAAAGAGTAATGGCCCTTTCGGGCTCCCGTGAAAGCCGTGGATCAACGGGAAGCGAGTGACATCGGGACTACCAGACTAAAGATGTGATGAACTGCGAAAAGTTACCGCCTTTTCTAGACTTTGAACCCTGGTCCCGTTTTTGTTCTCTTCTTCTCATGTGGGAGCTTCACCGGTTGTCCCGCTCAGTCCCCCTACCACCAGGAGTGAAATACTAAAACGAGATTATTTAGTAGTGCAAAGGAAATATCAGAAGCGGATATTGACGGTGGTTGTTGACTTAAATTTGCCGCAAGTTTGCGATCATGTTTGTTACATATGTAAGTATCCAATCGTACCGACTTTCATTGCCGTACGTTAGCCAGGCACTTGGATGTACTGTACATGTACCCAACCTTATACCTTACGCAATTGCCCCGCATTTGCACCGGGAGCTCTCCTTATCAACCCCACCATGCCCACCGTCTCCCCATCAGCAGCTCTCCGGCTCAAGGAAACGAACAGACTTGCATGAACTCAACCCCTACACCTCTAGAAGCATATTATTAGATCAATCCGTCCCTCATCAGGTGCTTTTCATCCTTTCCTCCTTTCCTCCTATATTCCTATCCGTGCTTCCGCTCTTCATCCTGTCTCAACTCTAGCGACAGCAGTAATCTCTAATCATCACCGACGTCATAGACCTCCAGACGCCCTAGAAGCTATTCGCAGTCGACCGAAACACAACAACAACAACACCATGGCTCCCGCGAACACCCTCTCCGCCTGGTCTGACCTCCAGTCGCACCACTCCAAGGTCGGCAAGACCTTCGTCCTCAAGGATGCCTTCAAGTCCGATCCTGAGCGCTTCTCCAAGTTCGCTCGCACCTTCACCCTCCCCAGCGACATCTCCAGCGATAGCCCCAGTGAGACCGATATCCTCTTCGACTTCTCCAAGAACTTGGTAACCGAGGAGACCCTTGAGAAGCTCGTCAATCTCGCCGAGGAAGCCGGCGTTGAGAAGAAGCGCGATGCCATGTTCGCTGGCGAGAAGATCAACTTCACCGAGAACCGCGCCGTCTACCACGCCGCTCTGCGCAATGTCTCCAACCAGGAGATGAAGGTCGATGGTGTTGATGTCATGAACACCAAGGGCGGTGTCAACGACGTTCTCGAGCACATGAAGGAGTTCTCGGAGCAGGTGCGCAGCGGCGAGTGGAAGGGTTACACAGGCAAGAAGCTCACCAACATCATCAACGTTGGTATCGGCGGTTCCGACTTGTGAGTTCAAGCGTCCTGTCTGGTTGCTGCCCGAGAGAAGCATTGACTAACACGGACCAACTATAGGGGCCCCGTCATGGTCACCGAGGCCCTCAAGCATTATGGCGCCAAGGACATGACCCTTCACTTCGTCTCCAACATTGACGGCACCCACATGGCCGAGGCCCTCGCCGCCTCCGACCCCGAGACCACCCTCTTCCTCATCGCCTCCAAGACCTTCACCACCGCCGAGACCACCACCAACGCCAACACCGCCAAGTCGTGGTTCCTCGAGAAGACTGGTGGTCAGGGCGAGATCGCCAAGCACTTCGTTGCTCTCTCGACGAACGAGGCCGAGGTCACCAAGTTTGGCATTGACGCCAAGAACATGTTTGGCTTCGAGAGCTGGGTTGGTGGTCGCTACTCGGTTTGGTCCGCCATCGGCTTGTCCGTCGCCCTCTACATTGGCTTCGAGAACTTCCACAAGTTCCTCGCTGGTGCCCATGCCATGGACAACCACTTCCGCACCGCTCCTCTCAAGGAGAACATCCCCGTGCTCGGCGGTCTTTTGAGCGTCTGGTACTCCAACTTCTACAACGCCCAGACTCACCTCGTTGCTCCCTTTGACCAGTACCTCCACCGCTTCCCTGCCTACCTCCAGCAGCTGTCGATGGAGTCCAACGGCAAGACCATCACCTCGGACGGTTCCGCGGCCAAGTACACCACCGGCCCCATCCTCTTTGGCGAGCCCTGCACCAACGCCCAGCACTCCTTCTTCCAGCTCGTTCATCAGGGCACCAAGCTGATTCCCGCCGACTTCATCCTCGCCGCCAAGTCTCACAACCCCATCTCGGATAACCTTCACCAGAAGATGCTGGCGTCGAACTACCTCGCTCAGGCCGAGGCCCTCATGGTCGGCAAGACCGCTGACGAGGTTCGCGCCGAGGGCAACGTGCCCGAGAACCTCGTTCCTCACAAGGTCTTCCTCGGCAACAGGCCCACCACCAGCATCCTTGTCGGCGGCCACATCGGTCCCGCCGAGCTGGGTGCCCTTATTGTCTACTACGAGCACCTCACCTTCACTGAGGGTGCCATCTGGGATATCAACCCGTTCGACCAGTGGGGTGTCGAGCTCGGCAAGGTGTTGGCCAAGAAGATCCTCAAGGAGATCGACGAGCCTGGTGCGGGCAGCGGGCATGACGCTTCTACCGGCGGTCTGCTTGATGCGTTCAAGAAGTATGCTAACTTGTGAAGGTCAAGGGACTTAATGGGGGCGTTGCCGCGGCTTTGAAAAAGAGCGGGCTTTATGTAGAATGAAGAGAAGATATAGATACAGATACCTGGTTGGATGGTTGGAAATGATGCTATGATTACCCAGATATTCCAATAAAGAGCAAGTTTTGTGAAATTCAAACAGAAGGCCCAAGTCCAAGAATTGATGAGTGATACGTACAGCTGTTTCCTTTCAGTTTGTTTTCCACATTTCTTCCAGATGCAAGTGGCTGTCCCAACTTTTAAGTTGGCCTCTATATCTGTTCATTGACTCCCCATGCTTGACGCTTTTCTCTCTAAAACGATTGTTGCCTGTCTTGTGACCTACCTACCTGCTTTCTTCTCGACAGATCTTTGCCAGGGCCTCAAAAGGTTAAATCATTACCGCCTAAATAAAGAGTTTGTTTGATCCTTCGTGAAGCTTCGTTTCTCATCGAGATGAGTGAGGTTAATAGTGTAATCAGTAGTCTAGCCCATGCCCAAACCAAAATGTGATCCACTCCAAGGCGTCCAAGCCAGGTCAGGTACCAGTACATGTCAAAGACTCAAGGTTGTCAAGGCAGATTTAGCCTAAATGTCATCAATACGGTTTTATACGCTCAGAGCACTGTACATACATGAAGCCTTTCTCTCGATAGGTATTGTATCTCGCTTTGTTTTCTCTGTTGCATCTTCTTTTCATCTCTCATGTCGAAATCATATCGGATTCATCATTGCAGTTCTGGTTCTGGTTCAATCCCGAGATACTGAGATACCGGCTAGGTAGTCCACAGTAAAGCAGAACCATGATCATTCTTGCCTGCCGATAACCATACCTAAGATTGGGTTGGCAGGTAGCTTGGGAACTTGGGAAGGAGCGGATAAGTGACGGTGTATCAAGAATTCCACTTGGTGAGAACTGAGATCAGATGAACGGTTCGGTTCGGTGGGGAAGGAAAATGGGGGTCACGGACGGGGTGGAGCCGATTTCACCGGGTCCGAGTCCGGAGCGGACTACCTACTACTGTACCCGTGCATCCCTAGATCAGCTACCGACTGCGGCTGATGGCTGCGACCGGTCCGGTACTTACCACTTTATTACATGTGGGTTGGACTCAGTGCCGGTGGACGGACGGGTGCTGGATGGGATCAGAGATGGTGAGGGATGATATCAAACGAGGTGAATGATTGTTTCTTTGACACAAGGACTGAAGGAGCGGGTTGCTCCTACGTTTTCTCTGCCTCGGTTGCGACTGCCATTTTCACCAAGAGGAGGAAGGAGTTAGTTGTAGAAGTGCTAGGTACCTAGGTAGCTGGACAGGCAACAGTACATGAGGTCAAGTCATCCACTGGATGATTCATCAACTTGGATTTGCTGTACACATTCCTTTCTGTTAGTTCTCTGCCTGGAGGGTGGTGTGGTCGGCTCGGAGCAATCAATCACATAGAACTCCCTGTCATCAATTTCTTGTCATCTGTTTGAATTTCTTCTCCGATAGAAATCATTCCCTTCCTTTTCAACAAGAACACACGCGCGCGAATCAGAAAGTGATCATGACCATGCAGTTTCCATTCTTTCGACGATTTCCTGTCCCTTTTGCTTAAGCAGTCTTCGAGCCGAGCCGCCTCCTTTTGATCCGCCTCCTTTTTTCCCCGGTTATCCTAGTTTCACAAATCCATGCAATTTGATCATTTGATCATCCCATAAGCAAGAAGCCTGTTTTGGAGAAGAGTAGAAAAAACACATACAGAAGAGTGTGAAAGTCAGTAAGTAAAACCAACGTTACTTTTTTCCCGCACGAACTCGGCGGAGTTTTCATAAATGATGCCCACCAATCTTATGACCACTATGCCCTTTGGACCCAACGCACTGTTTGACTTGGAGAGTAGAAAAATGAGTTTCTTGAGAAACTAAAAAAAAGGGAATAAGAAAACTTGTATAACCGAGGAAAAACCCACACAACAAACAAGACGAAGCAATTTATGAGACAATCCATCCCACCAACCACCACCCAAAATAGAGTTTCGTCAATACGTTATGTCCCTTTGCGGTTGTAGTTAAAAATCGTACACAGAGATGATAGTATGAGTCTCAGAGAGAGGGGTGAATCCCGTCAATAACGCTAAACGATATTTGCTCAATGTGTGCAGGAACGCGCGAGGCTTCTTCTTGTCCTCCCACATCCTGCTCTGGTTCCGTGCGGCCCTAGTGACCCACAATGTTCGGTCTGGGTTTCCTCCGCTAGTGGTAGTTGTTACCCCAGCCGCCACGTGGGGGGTTGCCGTAGTAGCCCCCGCCGAAACCTTGTCCACCATAGCTGCCGTAGGTGTTCTGGTGACCCTGGGAGCCGGTGGCGCCCATACCGTAACCGGTACCGGTCTGCTGGTTGTTGTGGAGACCGTGTCCCTGGAGGTGGTTGGGGTAGCCATAAGATCCCATGCCACCGAGACCGCTCTGCTGGTTCGACTGGGGAGGGGGGAGGCCGCTCTGGGAGGGAGCGTTGTTGGTAGCAGAGCCGGGACGAGCGGCACCGCCAAGGGCAGGGCTAGGTCCGGAAGCAGCCTTGGAGTCACCAAAAGGCTTCAGGTCGTCAGAGGCCGAAGGACCGGCACCGGGCTGGGTTCCGGGAGCATTGAATGACTGACCAGCCTGAGACTGGTAGCTAGAGCCACCACGGCCGAAGGCATCGTGCATTCCACCGAAGCCGCTGCCGCCGAGACCTTGCTGCTGAGCAGTCTGGCCGGAAGCAGTGCGACCATAATCGTTGAGGCCAGCGGCTCCAACACCGGTCTCACGGTGCAGAGTAGACTGTCCAAAACCGGCAGGGGAGGAAGCATATCCATGAGGCGCCTGGGGAGACATGCCGTACTGGTTGGGCTGGTAACCAAGGTTGCCCTTTCCATAGGGAGCTCCGTAAGCGCCCTGGTTGTATCCGTTGTAGTTCATGTACGCAGAGTAATAAGGGTTAGAGTAGTAAGGGTGGCTGCCATAGGGGCCGTACTGATCATGCGGCTGTTGCTGGCCGTGGGTCTGGGCCTGGGTCGTCTGAGCAGTCTGGGCCTGGGTACCAGCCTGGTTAGGGGTAGGAGTACCAGCCATCTCAGAACCAGAACCGAAGCGAGTCTGAGTGTGCTGAGCGCCGCTCTGAGGATACTGGCTAAGGTTATCGGCCTGTGGAGCGTTATATCCAAAGCCGCGCTGGGGCTGAGACAGACCATCTTGCTGTCCCTGAGCGCCCTGTTGCTGACCAAAGTTGTTTTGGCCGTAGTAGTTGTAGCGGCTCTGATCAGCGGTGTAGTACTGAGAATAATCGCTGGGAGCCGAGCTGAAAGCGCCGACGGGCTGCTGCTGGTTCTGAGTTTGCGCAGCTTGGCCCTGACCGGGGAAGCCAGTCTCGTACTGGGTTTGGGCAGCCACAGCACCAGGCTGTTGGCCGAAAGCATCGAAAGGCTTGGAAGCACCGAAAGAAGCGGGCTCTTGGGGCGCAGGCTGGCCGAAGCGGCCGAACTGCTGTGTGGCGGGCGCAGTAGGGGGTTGCGTAGCTGCTTCAGCCGGGGTCTTTAGTGAATCATCTACAAGTGACGAAATCGGGAGGTAGTACGCACCCTGAGAAACGGCCGCGGCGGCAGAAGGCTGGGTCGGGGCCGTAGGGGGTGCGGTAGTGGTGGTAGCTAGAGATGGAGTTAGTCGCAAACTTGAGGCATTGGCTAATGCGGAATGGGTCATACAGGCAGGGCCCGTAGGAGGGAGCGAGGCCGCAGGCTTCTGGGCAGCGAAGGTCTCGGGAACCGGAGCAGGCTGCACAGGAGGCAGAGAAGCGCGAGGTTGGGTAACAGGAGAGTCCTGGGGAGGCTGAGGACGAGTCTCGGGCTCCTCGCGGTCACCATCAATGTCATCCTCCTCGTTCAAGCTGAAAGCGCCGAACTGAACAGCGGCACGATCGACCTGGTCACGGTTGCCAGGCATGCGAACGGGCTCCTGCTGGTCAAGGATGCGGCGGGCGTAGGTGGGAGTGCGAGTAGATGTGCGATCGGTGGCCTTGGAAGCGGTCGTAGCAAAGCCACTGCCAGGGGCGCGGGAAGTCTGATGTTGCTGCTGAGACGCGGAGTTGGGAGTCGCAGTAACGCTGGGGGCCTGGGCCCGGGGATCCCAAGAGTCGGCGGCTTCGCTCGCAGCGGTCTCGGTCTGTGGGGGGTGAGAATCATCGGCGACTTGTTCGAGATTCGTTTCGGTAAGCTGATCCTTGGAGGGCTTCAAGGCGACTTCGGGAACAACGGGGATCGCAGGGAGAGCAGGCTCGATAGGTACGATAGGAAGGGCGGGGACGGCGGGAGGAGGAGGAGGAGTAGCCTCCTTCTTGACAGGCTCGGGCGTAGGTTCCTCGACGGGCGTTGGGACTTCGGGCTCAGCAGCTTCGGGCTCAGCCTGAACCTCAGGCTCGACAGGGGTAGGTTCGGCGACAGGTGGGAGAGGCTCGATAACGGGCTCAGCAGGCTTGGGAGGAGCAACCTCCTTTGGCTTGGGGGCAGGCTTCGGCACCGACTGTCTCAACATGCTAGCCCAGGTCTTTTGTGCGGGCCCAACGGGCTTAAGGGCAACGGGAGCAGGCGCGGCGGCAGGAGTCTCGGTGGCAGGCGAGCTCTCCTCGGGCCATCCGCTGGCCTCTTCGGCGGGCTTGGGAGTGCCCCATACGTTGGCTTCGTCTGTGGGAACCGAAAGCTTCTCGCTCTCTGTGGTCTTGTGGCCGTTGATTGTCGCATTGAGGGGCTTGCCGCGACCACCGCCCCGACCGCCTCGCTCGGTGGCCCTGCCACGTCCACGTCCGCTCTCTACGCGGCCGCCTCTAGCAGGTCTCGTGGATCCAGGGAAGGAATCGACGGGAGTGGATGTGAAAGTATCGGTCTTCGTCTTGGGCTTGGACACCTTCTTGGGCTTGGTAACCTCGCCCCATTGCGAGATGGTTCCTGAGTAGAGAACCTGGTGTCAGTAACATGGCAGTAGCAGCAAACAGGGTGCAATTCACGGCGGGGCAGCGTGCAGCTCGGAGGAGCCAATGGTTCAGCGCACATGACAAGGAACGACAGGCACTCGTCTCGTCGAGCTGAGCCAGGAAGGGCGTGGGCAAGGGAAGCAAGTGGCGGTGGTGCTTTGGGATTGGGAGTCGGCGACGTACCTTCAGCGATGCGGGTGACGGCGAGGGACTCATCACCGTCTGTCTCGTTGAGAGCAAATAGAACATCAACATCGGACCAGTCAGGGAACATCTCCTTGATGATGGCAACCTTGCTGCCGTATTGCTTCTTAAGCTGGCCAATCTCGCCCTCGTCTTCTAGAGATGGCAGCGACGACGACTCTGCGGAATCGCCGTTGGTCCTGGTCGCGCTGCGACCTCCCCGAGTGGAAAGACCGCCCCGGCCACCACGGCCGGAGCCTCTGCCGCGCGCGGCGACGGGTCTGCTCTGTACCTCAGACATTGCTGAGATTATGTGTATGAATATGTGTGGTCGTCAAGACGAGTGGGTTGCGGAGTGGTGGGCGTGTCGCGTCTCTCGAGGGCAGCCAGTCCAGTAGGGGGATGGAGGGGTGGCCTTTTCTCGGGAGAACAAGACAAAAGAAAATGAACAGGTAGAGGAGAAATAAAATCCGGTGCGCCTCGTGCAGATGTGCCTTTGGGCGGCGGCGTGGTGTTGTGTTGCGATCCGGGTGATGGGATCGAGAGCCGGTGTGGTGGTGATTGACGTGGTGGAAAGGTATTATGGAGAAGGAGGGTGTGTGGGAAGTGGAAGCGAGGCAAAGAAAGCGTAGTCGGATTCGGTTTTTGACGCCTCGTCCCGCCAGAACAAGAAAGCCAGAATTGGCCCGTCGCGGAAAGTGCAGGTGGAAAAGCAGAGGCCACCGCAACCGCTAACTACCTATGGGCACCAGCTGAAAACCACCCGAACCACCACGCCTACCGCCCGTAACAAGCAGTCACCAAGGACAATTGCAACTGAGCTGCACCTGACGGATGGGACTGCAACAGCTGCAAAGATGCGCCCACTACCAGGGGCACGACACCTCACAGGGCATCTCCACGGCACGAGAATGAATGGAACTCCTACGGAACATCTCACTTTGTTTGAAGCCGTCTCTCCTTTCTCAGTCCAACTCAATGGATGTCGTTGTTGTTGTTGTCGATCCATAACAGCTCCAGGGGCAACTGGAACAGCACACAACTCTCCCGCCATACTGCACCATCGGCGTGGCGCCTCACGACAGGCTGTGGACTACCTAGAGGTAGGTTCCATTGGGGACTGAGATTATCTTGATCAATCTCTCTCCATCTCGACAAGAGTTGTCATGGCTTGTGCCTTTGTCGGTGTCTTGAATTACCAGATGAAGCTATCTGATGTGCCCTAGCTACCCCATGTTACCTCGATGGTAGCTAGGCACGCAAGGCACGGAAACTACCTATCTAACCATCTGGCATGCAGGGCGCAAACGGCATGGCCTGCTATCTGATCCCAAAGGGGAAAGTTGGCTGGCTGCTTTGTTCTTCTCTCTCCCGTCTCCCGGAAAACCACAAATACTACCTGCACCGGACCGGCCGTCGGACAGTCCGCCATATGATGGAGACAAGCAAAAAAGGTTTCTCGGTGTCCATGACTCCCTCGGATTGAATCAGTTGAAGTAAAGGGAATTCGCCCCCCTTGCCTCAGGAGGCACGGCGAGACACCTGATGACAGGGCCAGAGTGAGCAGATGGACACAGCTTGGCAAGCCCATCCCAGCACAATGGTTGACTGGCTCGATTCGAAAATGGGGAACCCCTCAAGCCCCTCTCGAAAGGCTGGGTGGGCTAGGGGCAGGCAAGCTGGCTCGGCTGGGCAACCGTCGTCGAAAGGGGGAAGCTGTGGGGAGGCGAAGCCGGCACAACACACCAAAGCTGCCCTTGGGCTTGGCTCGGCGAAGCCAGAGAAGATGGCCCTTTGCCCTGTCTATCTAGGTATTCCCTTTGGCTAGCATCAGGCTGACAGCAGTGGGCTTCTGCTTTGTTGTCTCTCCCTTTCTCTTCATCCAAAAGACAACAAAACGACCCGACAACTGTGAAGGATTGGATCCAAGGCCACCCTGGAACTTTGACGGACGCCGGTACTGGACGGCAAACGACGTCAGGGCTGTCCAGGTACAGCTCAAAACAGGCTTAGCTCCAGTGACCCCAACCAGCGGGTTTGGTCGTGGGTTTTGGAGTGAGGTCGCTGAGTCACATGACTCGGGTCTTCGACGGCTTCAAATCGTTGGCTCGAGCTTTGCGACGGCAGCAAGGTTCACGACTAACAGTTGAAGTCTTCAAGAGCCTGGTATACAGGAGGGAGGGATGTATTCTTGACATTGTCACAAAGCCCTCAGTTTCTGGGCTCCCTGTAGCAAACGCCCTCTTTCTGCCTGTGCCCCTGGTTGAGATTGAAGGCTTACCGCATTGTCAACAAACTAACGGTATGGCCTCCTTTGTTAGTGCGATATGTGTGCATACTAAGTGCCTGTGAAACCGACCGTATACCGGCACCGTAGCCGGACATTTGCGGTGACGGACGACCCGCACACAGAGCACAAGAATGGATTGTAAACGAGTGCAACTTTAACGCGTTGAAGAGCGATCGTGACGTGGATGTGAATTGGTTGTGGAATTTGGGACTGGAACAATCGGATGGACGACGTTAACAAATGCCGGCGCAAGTGATGAAGGTGTGATAAGATCTACTATGGAGCAGATAAACCAATCATGTTTCTGCATAAGCTATCCTCTCCTGGAGAAGTGGGTCCTTTCCCGTCATTGAATTGTGTGCTTCTGAAGTCAGGGTTCGCATTTCCCGTTGCAAGGCCGGGCCAGGCCATGGAGTGACAACTCCACCTCAAGCACAACCACCGTTAACGACATCGTGAACGACATCATCAGTGTCGCTGACCACTAACCCGATCGGCCGTCGACCAGCCCGGCCTCACCGAACTCCGGAAGCCGAGCTGTTATTTAGACGGCGCCCCTTCTTTACAAAGAAACAACAAACACCAGCGACGACATCATACGATACGATTGACCATGTTCTCCAAGACCAAGCCGCTGGGCTCTCTTAAGAGCATCCTCCCGCCAATTCACCAGCCCCTCCCCCTCAACCAGCGCGAATCCCAGAAGCTTCTCGACGTCCTAAAAGCCTCCTTCCGAGCCCACCTAGACAAAGAGCACGGATGGACTCCAGACACCAACCACGTCGCCCCGGCCGCCCCGGCCGTCACCTACCTGCCCTCCGCCTCCGCCTCCAAAGATGTACCGGCCCGTCCGACGGATAAGCATATGCGCGCCATCCTCGAGAACCCTCTCTTCAACAACAAGGCCTTTGTCCCACCCTCTGTCGCCGCCGCCGCCTCCGCCTCTGTCTCTGCTGCCCCGGCAGTCAGGAACAACCGCAACGAGGTCTTCCAGTTGGCCGTGTCCAAGGGCATCATGAACATCCAGCGCGCCCTGGGCTTCCTCCTGGCCGTGCAGCGCGATATCCAGCTCTCCGCCGCCGTCTCCGTCACCCAGGGCATGAAGGAATCGGGCGCCGGCCTGCTCGTGCTGCGCTGGCTGCGCTCGTCAGGCGAGGAGCGCTCGCTCAGCTTTTTGGGGAACCGTACCTTCACCCGTCTTCTATTGCGCTACATGGTTGCCGAAGGTCTCGACGAGCTCGCCTGGTCCTGGTTCCATCGCCTACTGAACGAGCCCGCCCTCACGACGGGCAGCCCCGAGCGCGCCGCCTACCCCGCCGCCCTCCTGGACGGCCTGATCATGGCCAAGTCGCAGGCCATCGAGCTGGACGATGCCTACACGTCGCTGCTGCGCGGCAAGGAGGTGATCAACGTCACTCCCATGGCCTCGACGCAGCACCTCGTGCACGCCTGGAGCAGGCTGTGCTGGCATACCACGGGGGAGTCGTACAAGCACCAGATCCCCGCCGCGTCGCTGTTCGAGTCCTTTGTCGCCGTCCACAACGAGCTGCCCAAGCCGTTCCCGATGGCGGTCGCCCATCTGATGCTGTATCATCCTACCAAGCCGAGCCCGGCTCTGGCGCTCAAGTATCTCAAGAACGGCTACGTCTGGAACACCAAGCTGCCGAGTTACAGGGCGGATAATAAGCCGGCGGACGCAAAATTCCCCACAAAGCTGGCTAGCTTGACGCTTGATACGATAGAGAACCTGATGCAGAACGGAGAGTTTGCCAAGGCGCAGAGGCTGATGGAGCGGTTCAAGACGCATCTGGCGCCCATGGGACCGCATCTTGGGGCTGTCGCTTTTTGATCATGATGCCATCCATCCGTGACATGTTTTCTTCAACATTTTTTACTTACTATCTTTCCTTACTTGCTTTTTTTTTTTTTCTGCACGTAGTTCCTCTCGACGTGAGGACCCTCCACCATTAGTTATCATGGGGAGTGATTGATACCTAGTCCACGTACTTTTTCCTTTTCTCGGGGTTTCGGGGCTTTCTCCTGTTTTTGTACATAAGGCGTTTTTTGTTTTTGTTTTTTTCATGTATTTTCTTGGGTCCCTTGGTCTTTCGGAGCATGACACATTTTCACGGGGTAAATACCAACAACGCAGGGTTACGAACAAACAACATACAACAACACCATGCAACATGCATCGAGGACATATGTCAGTAAACGTTACAAGAATACGAGACTATTGAGAATATACATACATACAAGCAATTTTCTGGCTATAATGGGTATCAAAGCAAGACTATTCAACGAGTGGTGGACGGACAACCATGATATCAAACAACAAGAAAGAAACCATACAAACAAAATCAACAAAACCCCCAATTGAATCCATCCTTGCGTGTGTAAAAATCCATCAGTCATAATAGATCGTCGGGGCCCAATTACTCAAGACCCCCTCCTAGCCTGGCTCCCCATCCTCTGCACATTACTCTTTTCGTTCCCCTCCAACTCCTCCTCCAACCCATTGACAACCCTCAACGCCCTCCGTGGTCCCATCACCACGCTAAAGAAACTCGGCTCCACGCCCTGCAGCAGCTGTTCCGTCGAGGACACACTACCTCTCGATTTGTCGTAGAACTCACCATCCCCATCCTGAACCTCATGGGCATGCACAACTTTGCCGGGTATAGCAGCTCCGGTTCCAGGGCTGGGACCGCTAGTAGCTGGCGTTGTCCCCGTTCCGGTTCCTGTTCCGGAAAGGGAGACGTCTGTCCACGGTGATGATCCCGGAGTCCCAAACGACGAGATACCACTAGCTACGGGCATAGACATAGGAACAGGTGGCATGGGCGGATACTGGGCATGCGTTGATGAACCCAGCGACGGACGGACATAACCAGAGCCGGTGCCGACGCGCGAAGCAGTGTGACTGGTGCGACTACTTCCGTGGCCGGACTCGGTCCTCACGGGATTACCGCCGTCTTCAAACAGCATCTTGGGTTCCATGGGCGGAATCCCGCCGTAGCCGTAGTTGTTGTGAGAACCAGAACCGTCGTAGGAGATTGAGCTGTCTGACGAAATTGGTCTGTTACTACTTCCTGCTGCTCCCGCTGCTCCGTTAGAGCCGGTAGCGGAGTTGCGGCTTTGTTTACTGGTTTTGCGGCCTCCGCTGCCGAAGCCGAAGAAAGCTGCCAGGCCGGAAGCCGTGGAAGCGCCCGGGTGGTGCGGGCTGGAGTACCGGTTCGCCACGGCCAGATGGGTCTTATAGGCGCGTACCTGCCGGCGGTACAGCCAGGCGCAGTAGCCGAGGTAGATGGCGAGCAGACCGAGGAGGCCGGCGATGACGCCGGCGGCTATGAGACCCGCCTTGCGGTCCTTGCCTTTTGTTTCGGTATTTTTGGGGTTGCCTGGGTCTCCAGGTTTGGCGGTGGTGGTGGCTCCGGGACCCCATGCGGTGGCTGTGACGGTTAAGACCGGCGGCTTGCCGGTTGCGAAGGGGCCGGCGGTGGCGGAGCCGGCTGCGGGTTGCGTGGCTGTGGCACCTCCGGAGCCGGAACCGCCGATGACGCCAGCGACGGGGGCGGGGACTTGATAGCCAAAGGAGTTGCCGAGGACAGAGTTTTCGGGGTAGAAATCGGGGTCGTGGTCGAGCGCTTTGAAGGAGGATTGCCAGGTGAGGGAGGTGGCGTTGAAGACGTAGATTCCTGGGGAGTCACACGTGTTGCCGCCGGTGTAGCCGCCGACGACAATCATTTGGCCGTCACGGAGGTGGCAGGCGTGGCCGGCGCGGGCCGAAGGTTTGTGTTCGTCGTCGCCGTCGGAGACCTTTATCCAGGTGAAAGATGGGATGGAAAGGATGTACATGTCTGAGTATTGAGTTTGGCCTTTCTAGTGGGTTGTTAATACTTGACCGCCTCAACAATATATGAACACGGATGGAAAAACTTACAGCTGGCTGAAGGTTCTGACCGCCAAACACATAAATCTGGAAACTTGAGAAGTCCTGTGCTGAAGCAATGACAGCACAAAGGTTAACTCGTACCGATGGTGCGTCTCCGCTGGTCTTTTGGTGGTACCATTCTGAGCTGGCGATGTCGTAGACATCCAGGACCTCGAGGTTGTCGGAGAAATCCTCAGCCGTACCGCCGGCTAAGCCGATGAGGATACCCTTATCACCCCAGCCTGGCACGTATACCAGTGCACCATCTGCGCGTTCGTGAAAATCGTCCTCTGTTTGGAGACCGCCTTGGGTGATATTCCTGAAGGCGCCCCATTCACCTGCTCCCTTCTTTTCTAACCCGTAGACGGCCTCGTTGTTATAGCCCGGATGCGTAAACTCGAGGAGACTCTTCAAATAGACTCGTTCGATCTGGTTCGACCATCCAGGCGTTGTCGCAAGGTCAAGATGGCCACCGAAATACCAGCTTAGTCCCAGTTCAGGCACCGAAATACCAGAACCTTCAGCCGATCTCTGGACAAGCAGGTCGCCCTCGGTCGAGTACTTGCCGGCAGAAGTCTTGGGTTGTTTGTGCTCTGTCCACTTCTGGTTCTTGATGTCGTACTTCCAGATAGACTCCTCGGTAGGCTCAACATAAGGGTTGTCGGCGAATTCACCACCGTACAGGTAGAGATTGTTGTAGTCATTCCAGAGATACCCCATCGACACAGCAGGGGGTCCCGAAGGCCTAGGCAGTCCTCGCAACCGTGGTGAGCCAGTATCCCATGACTTGGTGAGATCCAGAACGTAGAAGTCGTTATCTAGCGTGCCATTAGCAAAGTTCGTGGCAGCTGAGGACAGTGATATATCATGGCTTACTCCAGGTATCCGTAGTCTGGTCTACGGAAGTCTTGGACTGACCACCATAGAGGTACAATGTCCCATTCACCGAAGCGCCTTGTACATGTAAATGTCAGTGGTGTTCACTCAAGTAGGTATGTAACGCGGCCCAAAAACTCACTTTGTCCTGCCCATCTCGCGCAATAATCGGTTGAGCTGTCTGCTCTTGTTTCGAGAATAGGGCCACTTGGTTGTACCACTTGTCGTATCACTCCAGCATCCGCCCCATTGAGTGACACCTTTTCACGACCGTTGTAATAACTGAAGCCTGGTATCACCACAGCGATGAACAGGGCAAGTGTTGTAAGCCTGGTAAAGCTCGACATGCCAGGCGGTGGAGCACTGGAGGTCGAGCTGATGCGTGGTCTCTTTCCTGGAGTAAGTTTCGAATACCAAGGTTTTCCTGGCGAGGGCGATGTCGGTGTCGTTGGCGACTTCATAGACCCGGATTGCCTGTAACTGGTACCGTCGTCACTCTCGTTGTCGGTACGAAGTCCGGTGATCTCGCCGAACTCTCTTTCGTCTGGGTAGTGGTGGACAGGTTGATCGGTGTCGATGTCCAATTCTTTGAATACTGATTTTCTGCCCTTCTTGATCTTCCCAGTCATCATAGAAAGAGAGGGATGTCTGTCGGAGCCTTCACGGATTCGATCATGAGTGTTGTTGTGGTGAAACCTGGGGCGAACATGGTGAAAGGTAGAGGCTTCGGGGTTCGAAGGGCATTTTGATAGCTTCACGAATGACATGGTGACAACGATACGCAGGTACGCCTATCACATTAGCTTGTAGTGATGCATTACCAGCCGCCGACGACAGTATGAAGACTTGGAAGTTGTCCGCCGGATGGACAGGGAGACGAGGTCGCCACATGCAACACTAGGGAAGAGGGGTGTGTTGAGGTGTGGCTACCACGGGCAAATGAAGTCACGATTCGAATCCTGATTTGGTGAAAAATCGATGATATCCGTACCGTATGCAAAGAACAAAATACTGGAGGAGGACTTGCAGATATGGAGATAGAGAAGTGGTCTTTATGGTGTTGTGATTGTCTTTTAGTTCTTCAACTTTGAGAGAGATGATGAACCTTGAAAAACAAAACAAGCCCGTAGTGGAGAAAATAAGGGGGGAAGAGCGTTTAGCGGTCAAGATACTTAAATTGATGCTGACGGTGTCTTCCCTTTCGTTTTGATATTCAATCCCGCCCTTTGAGGCCTTGGTCATCTAGAAGATTCAGATTCCAAGTTGTGGACGGACTGAGGAAACGACATCATAGCCTCACCGTGGGCAAGGCCAGGTAGGTAGTATAGAGCAGGTAGCGGTTAGGTAGTGACTACGACCCAAAGGGACCAGGAAAGCGGAAGGCCATTGATAGAGGTCGCATTATAGCTGCACAATTCCTGCATTTGGCGGCACAGGAGAACTTCTGGTGCTCTGGGCCTTTGGAAATCTCGATCGAATATGCCATTTTGACGACCTTGACGTCCGAATTCGCATCCAGAAAAAGCCTATTCGATGGACCAGTGTCCCAAAAGCGAACGGACGGAACAAAACCTGGAAAACTGATGTTGAGCTACTGGGTTGGTGATGTGTCTTGGGCGGGCCGTCAGCCTGTCAACGTCGAGCCAGGAACCGGATGTGGTGATTGCGCCGATTGGCTGGGAGATCGTGGTGATCGGGTGGATGACCTCATGTTCATCACTCTGGAGTCTGGGGTTGTCGCTTGCCCTGAGTGCCCACGCGATTCCCCATGCCATGCACTCGCACTCGGCACCCGGCAGCGTTTCGCAACGGTTCAACGGGGTTTGAGTTGCATGGGTTGAATTCGGGGACTTGTCTTGTCGTTCAAGCGAGGCAGGGGAAGGTTTTGGGAGTTCAAGTTCCAATGTGTTTTGGAGACGACTGGAGAAAGCTGGGACGAATTCCGGTAAAGTCTGGGGAAGATCAACTAGTGTAAGCATGTGTGGCGGTGCATATAGTGGCTCGGGTGTGGCTCAGGCCGATATCCTTTCAACAATCAACACACTTGGCCATCGAGCCGTGTCCTCGGATGTACTTACATGCTAGCAAGGAGCTGTCCATGATCGGTGATCCAGAGAGTCTCTCAAGATTCACTCGGTCTTGGGGAGATCAAGCCATTCAGTTGCTACTACCTACGGTAGCTTGTAGCGTTGCTGTTCATCGAGCACTAACAATTTCAACATTATCCAAGTATGCGGGACAACGAATACCACCCATAGGCGCGAGAAAACATGACCGTAAGCACATCAGTCAATGACTCTTATCTGAGACAAGTTGAAATAGCATACATGAAACTCAACATGCCTGGAGAAAAGTACAGAACAGCGGAGTGGAAGCAACTAGTGTGAGCAAAATGATGCCAAGAAATAACTGGAATCAAAACAGCGAGTCTCATCGGTTAGGGGTCGCGATTACAAGCGGTCTGTCACGGTATCACCGAAAAGAATCGCACCTTCCACCAGGCCCTATTCGTAAAGGTCTTAACATGAGATACTCGATTTCTTAGGCAACTAAGAGAATAACATCATCTTGAGACTCACAAAATGTCATTCCCAACCCTCCCCGCCAAGCCTCCCACCAGGGCACAACAACAATAACAGTATACCAAGCGTACCCATCCACCATCGCCACAGCCGCCGTCACCTCTCAGAGGCTCGATGCCTCCCCAGACTTCCGCACCACCCGTATGACCTGGATCAAGCCCAGCTTGGCCTGGATGCTCTACCTGTCCGGCTATTCTTACAAGGACCCCGGCCAGGAGCGGATACTGGCTATCAAGATGAAGCGGGAGGATTTTCTGGGGTTGTTGGGAAGGGGGGTTTTGACTCATGGTCCGGGTACTACTATTTCTGCTGCTGCTACAAATATTAGTTCGGGATCACGGCAAAGGGAGCAGCAGCAGCAGCAGCAGCAGGGGGAAATGGCAAGTGACTCTCAAGGTGGGACATGCATGGAGAGAGACCTGGGAAATAAGACGTTCAAAGATAGCAGCAGCACTAGGGAAAGTAAAAGGAAAGACAGGCTGCAGTCGCTTGACGTCAAGATCCAATGGGATCCCGAGCGCACGGTGTGGCTGGATAGTCTCAACTATCGCAGTATTCAGATTGGGATACCGGCTGGGTTGATCAAAGAGTAGGCGGAAAATATGATTGTGAGCATTGAGGATGTCACGGACAGGGCGAAGGAGTTGAGGAAGATACTTGATGAAGAGACCGGACGTGACTGATGAAGAGCTGGTTGAGTTGGGATTGATCCCAGAGGAGACTGAGTTTGACGTGCCGGTTGAGTTGAGAAGTCGGTTAGGGATGGCGAATGATGCCTCCGGGTTGGTGACTAGGGCTAGTTTCTGATGTAGTCCTCATGGTAGAGAAAATAACAGAAAGGAACCATCAACGACACTCCCATTCCGTGGAGATGGCACCGAGTCCAGACAGCCAAAGTTAAGCCTCCCACGTCCGTTCCTTCTTTTTCATATGTCCATGCATCATCTCCAGACTCTTCAAGTAGTCGCTCGTCCCGTTCTCCAGATCCGCATCCCTAGCCTTGCACTTACTATACTGCTTTCCGTTTCCATGAGCTCCATCAATCCTCATGAAGGTCTGTCCTTTGGCCTTTAGCATGTTCTTGGCCGCATCTTCAAACCACCCGTTGATAAAGTCACCATGGAAGCAATATCCATCGCCAATCTACAAGCACAGTGTCAGTTCAACTCACAGTCCCTCTTCCAAAGACCAGGAACAGGGTTCAAGTGAAAAGCAGGACAAACTTACCTCCCACAAGCCAACTTAAAGGCGGCACCCCCTTCCATCCCCCCGGTATCGCCCTCCGAGTATCATACCTAACACTAAACCTCAGACTCGGCATCCTCTTCATCTTCCCCGGACACCTCCCGCCGTTCTGGCTTGCATACGCATACTCCTCCACCTTATCCGGGTTGACACAATCCGGGAACCTCAGAATAGCCTGCATATGGGCACTACACGTCTGTCTCGGAAAGGCCGCTCTCGGCCTCGAATTACGGTCCTCAGGCCCGTTACCATCGCACCACCAGGTCAAAGCCGTGACGCGCTCATCGACGTCGGACTGGGCTTTCGCTGAGGCGTTACCGGCTACGACGCGGAAGTTGGCGGGGAAGGGGATCTCGGCGTGGTCGATCTGCTCGTAGTACGTCTTGAAGGTGGCGGGGTAGATTTCCGTGTAGTTGTTTCCGTTGACGTAGTAGAGAGTGGGCGCCCAGTAGATGGAGAGGTCGTTGGGGTTCTCGCCTGATGGACAGCCCTTTTGCAGCTGGGCGGTGGTGGGCAGGTCCTTGGTGATGACATCGGAGCCGTAGAAGGAGTGCATGTGCGAGATGTACTTCCCGGGGGAGACTATGGGGTCGATGTTCTTGCGCATAAAGGGTTTGTGCTCGATGTCTGTGAGGGCGCCGGCTGTCTCGGCCAGGAGCAGAGCGGAGAGGAGACGCATTGTGATTATGAGAGGATCGGTGGTGTTGAGGCTGTTGAAGCAGTGAGGTAGGAGCGCACTGGGGGAAGAAAGGAGTGAGAACACATGGTCTCTCAAATACTATTGTGAGTAACTCGGTAGTTGTTGACTGTGGTATATCAGGTGTTCATTAAGAAACCAAAAGACAGCTAATATAAGGATAATACAGGCGGAAGGAATATTTGCACCCATCATGACCCCAAATCGTATATGCCGAATATTCCAAACTCTAGCTCGATCAAGGTCATTGGCTCCCATGCCAGCCTTTGAATCGGTAGGGTGTACGCCAATTTTAAAGTAGACCAACACTCGCTGTTATATCAAGTACCGAACCATACGCCTCCGTCTTCCAGATTGTATCCTTGAGAATACCGTCCGAACTGTCACAGAGTGATACTCGGGGATACCGAAAGCGCTTCATGCATCGCCGCGAAGCAGGCCCATGGTCTCTTTTCCGTATGTTGGTTGTTTTCATTTCTCGTCACGCTCGCACTCTCGAGCACTCTACTCGGCCTTGTCCTCCTCGCCAGCAGCCACCAGCTTGCCAACGACAAGGTACTTGTCAAGGAACCTTTCTTCCCAGCCCTGGAGCGCCTCCAGCTGATCCTTGGTGAGATCGCTCAGAGTGTCGAGCGGGCCGTCAAGGTCCTTGGTAAGCATCTCTTCGTCGAAGCTACCGAAGGCAAGACCGCGGGAGGCGTCGCGACCGGCAAAGTTGGCATAGGGACCGCCGGGGCCGTAGAAGTTGCGGCCGCGAGTGACATCGAAGACGCGACCACGCACAGCCAGGTAGACGGGCATGTCATTCTCGCCGTTGTAGGGCAGGAGCGTCCTCGGAGTGAACGTTTTGAACACCACGGCGGGCTCTTCCTTGGGAATGGCGGCCGGGGTATGGGGCCTCAGCCAGCTGTAGGCTGTGTAGAGAAGCATGCCGAGGAGGACGAGGTTGAGGGGTGTGACGAGAGACCTGTCGGGCGGGAAGGTTATCTCAGTTAGCGTCATGAAAGAAGCTTGCGATTGTGAATGGGAATCCCTTACTCGGCATTGCCCGTCTGCTTGGCAGCTTCCTGGGCCATTCTGTTCTCGACGTATTCCATGACTGTGGGAATTGGATATTTGCGATGTCGGTTCAAGCTGATGGTTGGTGTTATCGTCAATCAGCAATGTGCATGCGATGTGTTCTCCGTCTGATCCGGGTTCCCCAACAATGCCACTGTGAGTGTGCGCTGACGGTGGGTGAGATGATGGAATTTGATGGACGATGACGGGGGACAGGGCAGCGGGCGGGAGCGACGGGCCAAGGTGGGGCCTGCGCCGGTACCTCTGCGGCCTCTGCCGAACGGCAGTCCCGCTCCGGTCATCTTCTGGCTCGTGCACGCCTGCCCAGTGTCGGCACTCGCTGTCCCCCGCACTGAAGAGCTTCAATCCTTCCGACGGGGGTTCAGAGCTTTCAGGGTCCTGAATTGATGCGCCCCTTCCCCTGCTGCCCCCCCATTGCCCCTCCATCACCCTTGCTGTCTTCAATCATCAGAGCTGAATGCCCTCACTTCCATTATTGTCCATACCTCAACCCACGCTACCCACGCAACCCCTCTGGAACCTCCGTCTTGGCGGCGTGGCTTATGCATGCGTTGTGATGGACCCTCCAGCTGAGATCAGGTCTTCTTTCTTCGTGGGGTTTCCTGTCTTTAATTAACGCAGAATGGGGTCGTGATTCGTCATCTCCCAGGTCCAGGCCGATCGGGTCTCGACTGCTTTTCCTCTTGTCATTCCGTCTTTCCACTTTGGTACCTCTTCCGTCTCTAATGACTGGGGTTTGGGGTCTCTTTTGGAGTTTGTGAAGGTGTTCCCTGGGGGTTGCCGATGATCAGGCAACGTCTGGGTTGTTCTCATCGAAGATTACCGTCATAGAAGCACTAGAGGTATCCGAAGTGTGAGGCCATCGAGGTTCTCCGAGTGAGAGCGTTCGAATTAAACAAACTCCGAGCTTATACCGCAGTCCAGGGGTAGCTACAGTCTTATTATCACCACCAACTATCACAATGGAAGCTACTCCGACCAACACATGGGTGTGGAAGGTGCGTCAAAAGAAGCAAAGGGAATAGCACCGCCACAAGCTACGATGAGACTGTGGGAGTCTAGTTCTGGCTTTCTGGGTCCGGCCTGCCCGTTTCCCCACTTAGTATCTCCAAGTGAGTATCACCTGCAGTCTGAAGATCAGGACGTCACTCGGAGTCCTCAATCACGACGACATGTCTGGGCATGGTCTTGCCTGGGTTCTCGTACATTGGTCACACAGCACGTAAGTGGTCGACCCCAGCTCAGCTGAGAACTAGAGAGAGACATTCTGCACGATTCATCGGACTCATCTTGCCATCTCCACTACTCCTCATCCTGATAAATTAGGCTGTATCTGCTCTAGTATCACATACTGCCAAACACTATATAACTACCAGTACCTTCTCTAGCAGTTCCTCTGTTACTTCGTGCCCGCCATCTTCCAAGTCTCATCATTACCCTCAACCTGAACCTTATACACATCATCCCTTTAATCTTTCTTCTTTAATCCACACCAGCAAACATGTCTTACGGCGAGCGTGACAACGAGTATCGCTCCGGTGAGCGCCGCGAGGGATCCTCCAACTACGGCTCTGAGGACCGCGAGAACAGGAGGAACGAGTTCGGCTCTTCCAACTATGGCTCCGAGGAGAGCCGCAGAAACGAGGACCGTCCCCAGCACTCCAGCTATGGTTCGGACAACCGCCGCGAGGACCGACCCGGCTCTTCCTCCAACCGCAACGACTACGAGAACAAGGAGTCCAGCTATGGTTCCAACAACAGCTACGGCTCTGAGAGCAGGCGCAATGAGAACCAGTCCTCTAGCTATGGGTCTGGCAACAGGCGTGATGACGATCAGAGAAAGGAGTCCAGCTATGGTTCTTCCAACAGCTACGGCTCTGACAACAAGCGCAACGACAACTCCAGCAACTCTTATGGCTCCAACTCCAACACCGGCAACCAGAGCTACAAGAACGACTCCGGCTACAAGGGCGATGACAAGCCTTCCAACTACGACGGCTCTGGCAACAAGCACAACAACGTCAACGTGAACAAGCCTTCCAGCTATGAGTCCAGCAACAACACCTATAACTCTGACAACAAGCAGAGCTATACCTCCAGCAACAACAGCAACTCCAACAGCTACCCCCTTGAAAACAACAACAAGAAGAATGACTCCAACGACGGCGGTCTCGTTGGCAAGCTTGCTGGTATGGCCCTCGGCGGCCTCGGTGGCCAAAACAAGAACAACAACAGCAGCAATAACAGCAACAATAACCAGCAGCAGTCCTCCAACAATAATAACAACAACAACAACAACAACAACAACTCTGGCAACAACGACCTCAAGAGCGGTTTCATGAACACCTTCAACAACCTTGCCGGTGGTGGCGCCAAGGGCGAGCAGAACGAGGATATGCTGGACAAGGGTAAGCCAACGACGTCATTTTCACTATCCATCCATCATGTAATATGCTGACCAATTGTTTCCCCTTAAAAACAGGTATCGACTTTGTCCAAGAGAAGTTCCTCAAGCAGGGCCCCCAGGACAACGAGAGCGCCGCCGAGCAGGCCAAGGACAAACTGATTGCCGACGCCATCCGCAACGGCTACAAGAATGCTACTGGCAACGAGTTCCCTATCAAGGAGAAGAAGAACAACAACAGCAGCAGCAGCAGCAACAATAACAACAACAATGGCAACAACAGCGGCAATGGCAACAGTGGTGGCCCCGACCTCGCCGGCCTCGGCAAGAAGTTTGGTCTTTTCTAAAGCAATGGGAAAGTTTTGATATCCAAAGGCCGGGCGGGGGTTTGATCACCGGATGGACACAGAAGAGAAAAAGATTAGATATCTGAGTAGTATCCAGTTCATGAGTTTACGGCAATTTTTAATAATACCAGAATGGAAGGGGGAGCCAAAAAAGGTATCTCCTAGCTTCGAACATCCACACGATCCTCCTCCTCCTCTCCGTTGTCTAATCGTCCTCCCAAAGCTGTCTCCTTTATTATCCTCCTCTTTCCTCTTTTCCCTTTCCACTTTTCCCGTCCCACACATTCCACCCCATCTCTTCGTTTACACAAGCTTCACTCCGAATTTCTGGCACTCTTTCTTCTTAGCAGCAGCAGCCTTGTTCGAAGCCGCTGCCGCCGCCGACCTCATAGCCATACTAGCCATCAACTCGGCGTTCCTCGCCATGGCCTCAAACCTCGCCACCTCTTTCTCCGTGTAACTCTTGGTCTTGGCGTCCGTCGAAGTCGCCCGCGCGGCCGAGAAGTCACGCGTCACGTCGCGGAGCTCGGAGGCGTTAGAGCGCCAGGAGGCTGCCCGGGCTGCTGCTGCTGATGACGATGGGGAGCTGGAGCCACCGGGTCCAAACCGGACTGGGGTGGCGGACGGGAGAGCTTGCATGGGAGTTGAAATCGGAGCTGGAGCAATGAGGAAAGGTCGATGAATTGGGGGTGGTGATGTAGATAGAGGGAGGGGAGTGATGGTCTTTGTAAGGGCGTGGCATTTTTTTCTTGTTGTTTTATGTTCTTTCCAAAAGATGACGAGAAAGCTGTAGGTGTGGTTGGTGTCGAGGGAGTTGTTATTTGTTACGTAGGTAGGACTGGAGGCATAGTTCTAGTTGTTGGGGTGGGAATGAGAGACCAACTTATACCTTGTGATCATCTTTGACTGGCATCATTCAAAATCAGAGAGAGGCTTGGGGAAGGGCCCGCGAGGACAGCACGGCTGTGCAGTGATGTATTTTCTTTGTGGCATGACGGCAACAACATCGAGTGGCTAGCGGGCTGGTGACAATCTTCTTTGTGTGGCTGTTTTTGGGTTGTATGATTTCCCATTGCCGGGGAACGCGGAATGTTGTCGCGGATGTTATCCGAGTTTCCTAATTCTTTGTCTGTTGCTTCCCGTTACTGTTACAGCTTTCGAGTTGGTCATTGTGCTTTGATTGTAGATGACGATGATGCCTCTGATATTGTTGAGAGAGTCGGGATGGAAAGTTGCTGAGAGAACAGTGATGGAAAGGTATCGTGTCTTTAAATAATCACGCCGTCAACTGTCGAGTGGCTCGGGACGCGGACACTACCCGGGCTTTATAACCCATCATCACCAACCTTGACAGCAACTTCGTGAATGGCAGGCGGGGAACGCAAGTCAGTCTCTCGCAAAGAGACATGTTGTAGCTTGCTCGGCCACCACATGCATGTGATCACCACGATATTTATTCCTCATGCACAGCCCACCTAGTCCATCCCCTTATCCTCCTATAAAAGATTTCTGGTGAACTCCCACAAACATACACCAATGCTCGAAGGTCGTTCCATTGTTGTTCTTAGACACGGATATCACGAATGGCCGTTCAGAGGCGCTGTCTAACGCCGTGGCGGCCTTCAGGTCCTAATCCGTAAAAGCATGTTGAAATGAAGGAACAACGTGTTCCATTCGATCACATGCGGCTCGTCCGTAAACAGGATCCGGGGGTCCGGATCGAACTCCGTTATTGTTGCGTCGGGACTCGGGAGTCCGCCCGGGTCCATGAAGAATGCACGGCGATTCTTTCATAAGGCTGAATGTGCAATGGCAAGATGGGGGGGGAACTCACTGTGTTTAAACGGTCCGCCTGCGTTCCAGGCTCCCAGGGCAGGAACCAGACGGGAGCCATGTGGGGCTCGGCAGCTGGGGCCAGGGCTTGGATGAAACTCCACCGGAACCGCCAGGCTGGATGCCTGCTGAGGTGTCACTGGGGCCCTGACGCACAGCGGTTTTGCCAGTGTTACAGGCCAAGCCGCAACCGTCAGCCAAACAACCGGCCCGTCAGACTCTCCCTTCAGGTTTCCTCTTGCCTTCAGTTGGATCTCAACAACGCCGGACTGGGCATTTCCACTTCCTTTTTCTTCCTTTTTTTTCTCCTCAGGTCCTGCGCCTCGCCCCTTGACCACGCACGTCTCGTCCACCCCGTCACTGCCTGTCGCTCGCTCGCTCGCTCGCCTTGCCCGAACACAAATTATCGAAAGCAACGCTGCCGACAGAAAAAAACCATCTTTGGTCGTTGAAGCGCGAGTCAACGAAATCGATTTCGACCGCTTTCCCCAAGGTTCTGTCTCATTCGATCAAAAGTCCATCGAAGGATTTCCAATCACCGACGACAAGCATTTCCAGCCAGCATACCGACCGCGACCCGACTGTTCTCTGTTCTGCGGCGACCTCACTCGAGCGCTCCCCTCAGACGCCTTCACTGGTAACCGGAGCAGTCACGCCCAAATACAGACAAGCCCATTTTGCAACAAAGGGCTTCGATCTCCGTCGTCCAGAGCGACGCACGCAATTAATCGAATCTTGGGGGTCTCACGTCCTATCCCGCCTTTTGACGTTTTTCCGGCCATTTAATTTCCCGGCTTCTGGCTTTTCCACTGCAGAAAACTTGAATCCGCCGTTTACCTGGGCCACGACCATTTTCCCACTTCCTCAGATAGCTCAAATACACGGTCCCGTTTAACAACGCCCAAAATGGCCGATTTCATCATTCCCAAGCCTCCGCAGCAGGAGAAGTTCAAGGAGAATCTCCAGAATCTCCTCATATGCCCCGAGTGCAAGGAAGACCCGCCTCACCTTGTCGAAGAGTTCTCGTCAGGAGACATGGTCTGCGGCGATTGCGGTCTCGTGCTGGGCGAGCGTATCATCGATACCCGCTCCGAGTGGCGTACTTTCTCCAACGACGACCAGGGCAACGATGACCCTTCTCGTGTCGGTGATGGTCCCAACCAGCTGATCGATGGTGATCAGCTCCAGACCACCATCGCCTTCGATGGTAAGAACGGCAAGAATCTGTCCCACCTTCAGAACAAGATCACCCAGGACAAGAATTCCAAGCAGCTCATGCAGGCCTACCGCGATATTCAGGGCTTGACGGACAGCATCAACGCTGGTACCCAGGTGGCAAATGCTGCCAAGCACATCTACAAGCTCGTTGAGGACAACAAGGCTCTCAAGGGCAAGTCTCAGGAAGCCATCACCGCTGGCTGCATCTTCATTGCATGCCGTCAGACGGGAGTGCCGCGTACGTTCCGTGAGATCTACAGCTTGACCAAGGTCTCGAAGAAGGAGATTGGCAGGGTTTTCAAGCAGTTGGAATCCTTCCTCCAGAAGATCGGAGGTGAGGAGCATGCGATCACGACCAGCATTCCCACCTTCAACCAGCAGTACCAGGGCAAGGGATCTACTACCGCTACCGAGCTTTGCGCGCGTTACTGCAGCAACCTCAACTTCCGCAACTCGGTTGCGGTCGAGGATGTTGCTCGCCAGCTGGCCGACAAGACCAGCACCATCTCGGAGTTGGCTGGCCGTTCACCCCTTTCCGTTGCCGCTGCCTGTATCTACATGGCATCCCACATCCGGAACGAATCACGCACATCTAAGGAGATTGCGGCAGTGGCCGGTGTCAGCGACGGAACTGTCAAGACAGCTTATCGTCTACTCCACAACAAGAAGGACAAGCTGCTTGAGGAGATCTTCCCTGAGGGAGTGCCAAACCTCGACAAGCTTCCTGCAAACTAGGGTCCTCGGGTGCGCGGGTAGTTTGGATAGAGCGTTTGGCTTTGTGGTTGGGCGGCTCCGCTTCTTGATTTTCACGGGACAGAATCGCGGCGTGACAGCATTGCGCTTTCTTAAGCTTGACAGGGTGGTCAGCCTCACTAAGATGAAAAGGTAGTCCTACTGAGAACGTGGCGGCTTTTGAACATTGGTTGACAGGCAAAAGACAACCCACAGGCACGTCCGGAATTTCGGGAGTTGGGAAGCATCTTGGGTGGTTGGAAGAAGCGGGTTATCGTACGCCCATGGTAGGGCCGATGACTGCGGAGGTTGGTTGACAGTGCGGCAGGGCAAAGGGGCCTGACGTCTGATGAGTGGATTTCACATTTACTTCAAGGTGTGAAACGAGGTTGGACCGACGGGCTTCCATCCAGGCCACATGGAAGGACATGGAAGGACATTTGCGGTTCTGAAAAGTTGATCTTACTCGATGCATTGGGGGACTTCTTTAGCGACTCGCTTTTCACTTATAGCAGTGACTAGAACCTGGGAGCAAGATGATACTTAATACAAGATATCATTACTCCATACTCGTCAGCCATTGAACGCATGAACTCTAGAATGCACATTTTGTTGTAGTTATCCAAGAGCTGGAATCCAGAATTCGAACTTCAAGGGATGCAGTGCTGTGATCGATGCGGCGTTCAGGTTCAGTAGCAGTCAGTCAGTGCAGTGACTACTAGCACCGTACTAGCAGTGGATTGGCACAGTGCTACAATTAAAGTTTGTATGAAGAATTCACAGTGCTTATTTTCCGCGGCCTGTGCACGCCAAGTGGGCCAATCCGCTGTCGCTTCGTACGCAAACCATGCACTGCACCACTAGCACCGACTGCAGCGGCTTCACGTCTCGCTCTGTCAACCGCGTCTCAGTAATTTCGACATCGTCATCTCCAAACCCCAAACGCAACTCATCGGTCCGCCGTACTCTTCGCCGACACCCCAAACTCCAACACAACTTATTATTGAACACGCTATACTTTGCCTGTGGAAAAGACAATGCCTTCCCGGCGATCAGGCCGCGCAGCCGCCAAACGCGCGCAACAGGCCCTTGGTAAGCTATTCAGTTTTACAGCATTCCTCCCTCCCTTCATTTGCTTGTTTGAACAAGAGAATATCCCACACCATTGTGGTACGCTTCCACTGAAAACAAGAGCCACGCATGAATCTATCCCTTTCAAACAGACAGTCACTGACCAAGCCTTGCACAAAACAGAAAGCACCCCAAAGACATTCGAAGGTCTAGACGACGAGGATGAGCCTATGCCAGATGCCGATCAAGACGACGCCGAACCATCACAACGAGAGGGCAAAGATGATGTTGAGAAGGATGACGAGTCGGCCGGCGACGAGCACGACGAGGAGGAAGCCCCAGAGGAAGACGAGTCGGGCAAGAGCCCAAGCCCTCCCCCAGAGCCTGTTATCCGCCGCCGACGCCTAGGACGACCACCCAAGAACCGACCTCCTGACTGGGATAGTCTGCCGATCGAAAAGCCCGACCGTGATGATAATACTCCTCGCCGTCGCGGCCGCGGAGGATGGAGGGGCAGGGGCGGTCGCAAGGGCCAGCATTTTCAACCATCCCAGCAGTCAATCGACAAAGATGGTACCGTCCTTGATATTATCAACGACGAGGTGGACCTTCCCGAAGACCCGGAGGGTGAGAAGAAGGTCGATAAGCTAGGAAATCTCAAGGACGGCCGCGAGTATCGTTGCCGCACATTCACCGTCCTCGGCCGTGGAGACCGTCTGTACATGCTTTCGACCGAGCCAGCACGTTGCGTCGGCTTCAGAGACTCGTATCTTTTCTTCACCAAG